TTCTTCTTCATATGAAGGGAATGATTGATGATGACCTCCAGTTCCATCATGATACTCCTGCCTCCAGCTCGAGTCTTGGTACTCTTGGTGGGGATGATCTTCGTATAATACACTTCCACCGTGGATACCAGATGTTTGGCCATCTCCAGAATGACCTACACCGTCTTCGATGTCCTCGGTGTAAACCAACATCTCCGCTTGCTTAATTTTATTGGTGGTCAAAATTGGACCATGGCATCAACGTCCTCTTGAGTGGTAAGGATGAATTCCTCATTCCACAGCGACCCGTCATGTCTGTTTGGATATCGATACACCATTTAATCAACTCTTTTAGTGCCATCCATGCAGGTAATCTGAGTGCACATTTGATGGAGCTCTTCAAGCATCGGTCTCGTACGGACCTTCATTTTATAAAAATTGCCACCGACGTAACTTACACCCTTTTCGGTCTCTTCCGTGTAACCATTCCACCGCAACCCAAGCATAAACCTTTGGAGTGCCATCTGCAATAAAACTGTAATTAAGTTACTAACATAAAATCACAAAGGACAATGAAAAGTAATACAAAACAAACTTACGAATTAACGTTAATCGTAAAAACTAAATAATTTAAAGGTGCACAACTGAAATTTGAAGAAGGAGGAGGAGGAGTGTGAAGAATTTAAGTTCTCTGAAACAACCTTTTATAGGCGAATTTTGCAGTACAAACCGCGGGGGGGGGGGGGGGGGAGCGGTTTTAGGTCTGCCATGCAGCCCCACCCCCTACATGCCGACATGTTTGATGTCGGGTGACCAGGCACAAACCGCGCCTTGGGGCAGCGGTTTAGTTTGCACAAACCGCCATTGGGGGGCGCGGTTTATGTCTGCACATGGTAAACCTCCGCCTGGTGGGGCGGTTATCAAGCCGACATTTAAACGCTTTCTCACGAAGCGTTTTGTGGTAGGGTTAATATATAAACCACGCCTTCGAGGAGCGGTTTTACCTGAAATTAAAAATCGCCTGTTGACAAGGCGGTTATGATGTAAACCGCTGCCTGGTGGCGCGATTTATATATTAACCGCCTAGTAGAGGCGCGGTTTTTAATAAATGGTGGTATTTTTGGAAATGGTTGGGAATGAGTGGTTTTTGTATTTTTTTTAAACAGTGGTAGTTTTGAATTTTTTTCCCAAATTCCCTATGTTCACGATTGCTTTTTTCTTTATGACAATACAATGCACAACTTTTCGCCAACAACATACTCCATCGCTATAGACAAATGGTTTGAACTCAACCAGCTTCCAACTTTTATTGATAACCTCAAAAAGAAAAATCGCCATAAAATCACTCAGGCAGTACAGTTTTGCACCAGACAAACAAAAACCAGAGTTTGTAAAGCGACGACAACCAACCTCCTTGAAGTAAATAATGTTAGGATACCAAAGCAATCTGTGATTTGTAATCTCTCTTGCCACATTCTCATAAACCTGAAAGATATAATTAAATAGCAAAGGCGCAGATGTTGATAATTCCAAATTCAATCATAACGCATCACGTGCTTGCAAATTGCAATCACACAACTCCCCTTTTGTAGCCGTTTACATTGGAAAATTCAAGATAGGTTCCGAAATAGATAAGAATAACCATTCACCCAAGTTATAATCCAAGCAATGTTTGAGAATGCTTGCATGATTTCAGCTTCCCCCACTCCATCGGATCGTGTCAGCATAAGCTTGCCTATGCGTAAAGTAGAGAATAACAGTATTAGAAGTTAGAACATGTGACTATCAAGTCATGCACTAGCTAATGTGACTAATCTAGCTAAAAAGAGAGGGGCATACAGATTTATCTCCTTCAACTTCATTGTTTCGACCAGTTCACATTATTGCCTAAAGGCATTAGCTCTTTCAGCAATAGTTTCCTGTCCAAGTTTGGAAAGCAGCAGGATGATCAGTTTCCATAAAGTATAATGATTCAATTGACAGCAGGCATAAACCCACCTAAAGGGGAGTGCAACCGCAAGAGCGCCAACCTTAATTGACTGCACAACACGGACGTAATCTTTCATAGGTTCTTTCAAAATTCATTAGGAGTTGATGGGCCTGCATGTGCGTGAAGACAAGGATCAATAAACTCATTACTCTAAGGCCACAACAGCATAACAAAGATGAACTCAACGTCAACTCAAAGACTTGCCTCCTTTTGTAGCCGGATTGATAATGCCTCCGATTAAGCACCAAGCTCGGTTAGTACTTTCCCAAGACCATTCGATTCGCAAGCACCAAGTAACTTCGCAGCCTTCCCGAAATCGATAGAGATTGTCCCAACTCTGAGTAAAGAGAAATTATCCAATACAAATTGCTTACTCCCCGATGAAACATCAAGAATGCTTGCATGATTAAAATAAACTTGACAGGCATAGGAAAATATCACAAATTGATGATAATTGACATTGCAATATGATCGCAAACCAAATGCGAGCTTATATATCTCACTTTAGATAGGAGCATTCAAATTAATCAAGCTACCTTCTCCACTTTCAAATAAGCAATGATCAAAAGACTACAATGGATCAATAGAAATTGGTGGTTCTCTTTAATGTCTTAGTCATTCTTATTATATTTGTCACAATAAAGCCTACTGTAACCCTTGGAGGCAAAAGAATACTACTGATGGTTTCTGCAACTATCATAAGACATTAATGGGAACAAAATTACGATAAAGAACTTGAAAACTACCTAACTTCACATTCAAATGTATCAATCTTGTACAGACAGATGGTTGTACCACAATCTCATGAAGACAACTCCTTGTATACCTAAACATAAGATCTACTGCAGCTATTCATTCTGGAGCATTATTACTGGTTTCATAAAAGAAACTAAGTTAAGTACAACCACAAATGAGAATTGATAGAGCAGAGGAGAACCCAAAAAATGCAGTTTTGAGAAATTTTACTTGTTTAACTGAAATCTCTCTTCTCCAATATAGTTAGCAAACGATGGAACAGAGAGAGAGAGAGAGAGAGAGAGAGAGAGAGAGAGAGAGAGAGAAAACGGGAACACATCAAAACTGGAATACAATGATCGGGAAATATGGGGAGACTAAAAACTGAGAAGTTTGGACCCCGTGAATCCCTTGATCACAAAAAAATAGTCCCTTGATCACAAGAGTGACAACCAAGTTTCCACTCACATGGTATAGCATTTAACTTCCAACACTAAGCACAACAGTAACAAAGAAATAAGCAACAAGAAAACAATTTGGCCTTGAAATGCAAAATACAGCTGGCGCAAACAAACTCAATAACAAATACTATGACCTTTATCCTGAACCGAGACACCATTTAGCATATGATCTAAATTATTTAGCAACTCAAGCTTCATCCAAGTTAAAAACAATATACGATGAAATACCACATGGCAGGCCATCCTATGACTGGCGCAATTACATCACAACAGGAAGAAGGGGCAAGGTAGGAAACCCAACTGATTTTGGAAAATCCAACTATCTCACATAGGATCGAATAATGGAAGACTGCGGCTTTCTTCCCTCCAGGCTGTCCTGTACCCCATTTGAGTCCAGTCCTCACTTGCTTACCAACATTTTGTCCTGCCGCAGGAGGATCAAACACCATTGCCACCATCCCAACTTGTCATCCGTATCCCAAGGACAAAAACAAATAATCCCCATAGCAAGAATTGTATTGGATCACTTAATGACAATTAAGAATATCGAGCAATATACCAATTGGTGCAGATGTATCTACCAGAAGCAGCAGGAGTCTCATACAAACAAAACTTGTGCCTTGGTCGCATCTTTAACAGAACAGCTCCCAACCAGTGATACTCCTGTATGTCTTTAGCTCCTTCCAGCATTTGTTTCAACACAGCGGTGCTTGCATTCAGTCCAAGCTGCAACAATAGCCCCAAACACGTTGCCGGATGGATCGCCACCAAATCGATCCCATTCTTGCCCGCGAACTCCAGTGCAGCTTCCTCTGCCAGCGTCTTCAAAACCGAATTGCCATTTCTGCAAATAAAAAAAACACCCAATTGGACTAATTGAACTCAGCCATGTGTGGATTCGAACTTATTTGCTTCGGAGGACAGGGTCCATGTAACTCTTCTTCGATGGGAAGAAAATGTGTCGGCGATTCAAAGCGGAGGGTTGATTTTGGCTATAAAAACCTACTTCAAGATAGCCGGCGCAATCACGGCGCTGGACCCGGATTTTGAAGGGAAAGCCTCCGTTCCATCCTCATGCACGCCCACCGGAAGAAGAAGTTGCGACTCGTCGGTGGGAGGGGAGCATGTTGGTGGTGACTGGTGAGAACTTCGTTCGGAGAAGATTGCGGTGTGGTGCGTGTAATTCAATTTCTAGAAAACACTAATGGCCCGGCCCAGTAGCCCACTATGGACAAGGGGACTTGATTTCCCATCCGAAAAAGGCTACCGAAATTACCCCTCCGACAATTCCTCTGCGTGCAGCATTTTTAAATGGGTTTTCAGTTTTTTCCCTATGTACTTTTATATGTTGTGTAGATATATTTTTATTTTTACAATATTTATATAAATCACCAGCGCGAGGGCACTCATGTAAAATTCTTGGCAGCCCGCCATAAGTACATCAAATAATGCGGTTGAATTTTCGGACAAAAAACCCAGCATTACGATCGGAGGACTGCTCACTCTCGACTTTCACTCTTTTTTTTTGCCCTATGCATATCGCCAAATGAGAATTTCAACTTTCCCCATTTCCTCAGTCCAACTACTGTCTTCTTCAACCTTCAGCTCGTAGATAGAAGCTGAGAGATCAGCTTCGATCCCGATCTGCCCGACTGGCCGTCTCTTAATTCAGTTCGTAACCCAGTGAGTCAACCCGTCCTACCTCTTCTCCAGAAAACATACTTTACTTCTTCCTTGTGCTGGCTCTGAGTTTAGGATCTTCTCCAATTGCGGTCTGATTATTCTCTCTCTTATGGTTATCCCCCCCATGGTGCAGTTTTGAGCGGATTTCCTCTATGTCGGACCACTTCATAGCTCCTTGGGACTTGCAGGAAGAGCCGTCGACGAGTAAGCTTTCTTTTGTCCTTTGAGGCCATTTATTATCAAGCTTTCCTCTGGTGGGGGGAACGTAGCAACGGATTCATTCGCCTCTGGCTTCAATTTTCCAAAGCCGGAGCTGAATTCGATGTCACCGGAATTTTGGTATCTTAATTCCGAATGGTGAACGAGTGGCTCCTATTTCGTTGTGTTATTTGTCTAGATCTGTCTTATGCGTTAGTCAAAAAGAGTCTTCCTGTTCAGTATCTGGATGATTGAAACGAAGTAGTTCGAGTATAAGATTAGGGTTGAGAATTTGGGGATTGAGAAGAATTGGTGAAGAAATTGGGAAGAGGGTCCGAAGTGCAGAGAGAGAAGAAGATTAGGATTGAGTTTTCACTTAAGCTGCCTCTCTTAAGTTGTGAGTTGTGACGAACTAATCCTGGCTCTGATACCATTGATAGAAACTAAGTAATCTGTGGAAAAATTAGGGTTGAGAATTTGGGGATTGAGAAGAATTTGAGCAGAGAGAGAAGAAGATTAGTGATTGGATTTCAATGTTTTTCTATTTATAATCTCAAAGTGGCTATTCTAAATCCTTAAATAAGAGGAGTTTTGAAAAATAATGGAAAATTAACATAAAACACCCCTCCAACCGGCCACACCAACCTGCCTGTCGGCTGGCTTTCTATCACCGGGAGTTCATCGCTCAGGCGGAGTACGGATTTTTCTTTTTTCCGTAGTAAAGTTAGATAATTGACTCAAAATCTGAGGTTATTTGGAGCATACCCAGCGGATAGTTTTACTTTAGGGCTAGGTTTGTCATGTTGCTGAGAGAAGTTTGTTTTCCTATTGTGAACACCAGGGGGCTACGGTCCTCGGTCTCCAATCCACGATCAGCAGAACGATCAGCTTGTAGGGAATGGAATCCCCAATGGTGGTAATCCGTTTGCTCACAATGGTGCAGCTCAAGAAGACAAGAAATCCCTGCTAAATGACGTTATTAGCAGCGTTGTTAATGAGTTAAATAGCAGTGATATTTTGAACGAAGGGGAGCATCTTGAGACTGATCAGCCTAATGGGGCTGTCCAGCAGGGTTCTAGTGGTGAAGGTCTGCCATATGCTCCTGTTTAACTGGCCGAACCCGGGTGACAACTGGACCTGGAAGGTAGGGAAGAGGATTAACACTGCTGGGTTTTTCCAGGATAGGTTTCTGTATCCTCCAAAACATTTCCCAAAGTGACAGGGGCGAGACCTCCATTTGCGAGCCCAAATGCTGTGACCTCTTACATCCGGACGGTGTTTCCAGATGCTAATGCTGATGGCATTTTTTCTCGTCCTTCTCTTGGAAGGTCCCTGGGAAGGCGGCGTCTCCTCTGAAAGGTCAGCTTAAACATTTCAGAATCTTCTCTGTTCATCATCTTTCAGTAGTAATTATGTGCTGCTTGTAACAAGTTCAAAAAATTATGCGTCCCTTGCTTGAGATTAAACTAGTTATAGCATTTTAAGTACACAGCATTTGGTTATGTGTGTATGAAGTCTTCCCATTTCGATTAGTGTATAGTACTATATCTAGAGACACTGTATTCTTCATAGAGTATATATGAGTAAAGGATCGTTTGCTGAAGTTTATTTGAATCGGGAATCACTCATCTGTGAATTGCAGCGGAACCCATCTCCACCTCTTTCCCAAAGCCTTTCTCACGTGATGGCTCAAAAGAGGAAGTGCAAGTGCAAGGAGAAGGCTCTCGGTTGAGGAAAAGGAAGCCTAAAGCACCAACTCCACCACCTCCATCCCCACCTCCGCCCAAGCAGAAACGACAGCGCAGTGCTTCTAAATCATCTGCAACGAACCCGAAAAAAACAAAAGACCAAAACAGCAGCTCCCTCATCATCTGCAGCCAAGCGAAGAAGTAGGCATGCTGCTGGTAAACAAACGTCCCTGTCCCTTTTGCCGACGATGGAAATAATACCCAGGCAGAGGAGTTTAACATTACAATCCAGAAGACTTCGACAACTACTACACTACTACTAGAAGACATCATCGCCCAGCCATTTTCTGACAGCATAGTTGCTGGTCAGTCAACAACAATGGCTAGTGATTCTCCTCTACGGTTGAGACGATGATGAGATAGCTGAAGCTCGTCACAGGCTTTTCTCCTTGCTGGTTATGGACTTCCTACACTAGTTCCTCCAAGAACTTCACTGAACTCCTGGCTTTGGCTTCAAAACTACGGAACGATCCTCGCCTGACTGCCGAACAGCTTGTCAAGCTGAAGTTGATTGAGGAAATGTCGTCTTTCAGGGAGGTTTGCCACGAGAGTAGGGATATCATTGTCCAAATCGACAGGCATTACGGAACCCTGGAGGCGAACAAGGCCAAAGCGCTTCTCTCAAGAGCGAGTACAGCGAGCTGAAGGACAAAACAGACCAGCTTCAGGCACAGATAGACGGTAAACTTGTCGACGGTGCAAGACATCGACAATGAGATTGCTAGGCTCCAAGTTCGTCGAGCAGAGTTGATCGGTGCATGTGGAATCAAACAAAGCTGCCTAAGGTGGAGGTGAGCTACGCACAGAAGATGGTGGCGAATGCGATTCCGAATGTTGTGCACGAGATTCAAATCTCCAACTCCAAGATCCCCGAGTGGAATCTGAAGAGGAGTAATGCAGTGAAGCGGGAGGCCGAAATCCTTGCAAAGTTTGCACCTTTGCAAGGGTTCTTCCCTCATCCCGCCCCGGTTCAGGGATGTTTCTGTAAGTTAAGTTGAGGGTCTTGTCTGTGATTCAAAGCGGCAGTGATTATGCAATGTGCTTTCCGGCCGGTGACTTCGCCAATTGTAGTAGTGAGAAAGACTTCCCCTCTTCATGTTAGCTTGTGTGATTGTTCTCGATTTATCTAAGCGCAGGAGACAAGAACATTGTACTATTTCCTTGTCATATTTAAGTCCATGCGTGCTTTAGAAATGCACTATTTTGTATTCTCTGACTCTGTAGCTTTCTTCTTTTTGATTTAAACTGATTGATGAGTAGCTGTTACTGTTGAATGTTCTTCTGGTTGCTGCAGTACTTAAAAGAGTAATTTAACTAATCGTCAATGTGTAAACTTGGGCATGTATCTGTCATCCATTGCATCTAGGGTATGGTTACTCATCATCATAGACTTCACTTTGACCTTGTTATTGCTTCCACTATGCAACACTCGTTCTTGGTTGGACTTGTTGTAAAGTTTGATAAGTTAAGATATTTATAGTGCATGATAAATAATATAAAGGTATTATGGAGGCCCAATTTTCTGAAATCCCCTGGACCAATTAATTGATTGGGTTAGGCCCAGTTTTTTTTTTTAACATAGTCAACATTAGAAATAGATAGTCACAAAGTCCAAAGTACAGACTTCAACGCCATGCGGGAGTCGACCAATAGTCGAACTTCCGATGAAAGGGCTTGCTTTGCCACAAAATGAGCAGCCCTGTTAAAAGATGCGCTTGGCATAAGAACACGAGCAGAATTCGAACGCCTGCGCCATCCTGTGTACGTCTTCCAGAAGAGCTCCACCCATCGCGTGTTGACGATCACCGGTTAACACTCGGCGTACCACCAGTTGCGAGTCCCCAAAGAATTTGACAGTGAGAAAACCCGGGGTTAGGCACCAATCCATAGCATCACGAAGGGCTAGAAGTTCAGCTAGAAAAGGGTCCTGGATACCAGCATAGAACTTACCGAATGCAAAACTGAGCGCACCAAGAGGTTTGAAACCAACGAATCCAACGTTGCAGCCCCGGTCGCGTTTAAGGGCTCCGTCAAATCGAACCATCCACGCTTGGGAATAAGCGTACCTTAAGTCCACCACGCGCGAGGCTATGACTCCCGTTGTTGATGGACTCGGACTTCGCATGGGCCTGGTATCTAAGTAGAAGATCCCCCTGTATTCGCACCTGAGGCCGAGGAAGATTGCTTGCCATTCTTCCAACCTGCAAGCGAAACTGTCTCAACAGGGCGGGGGGGAAGGTACTGAATGGGCCCTATGGACTGCCAAGCAGCGACCCTTTCCAGATCCTCCAGCATAGAAATACCACCTTCCACAACTTGCAACTTGGAAAGATGCAACGAGAAAAAGAGGTTATTCCATGCATCATCCATCGGCAATCCTCCAATTTGGTGCGAACATCTGCTAGGTCCAGCAAGGGTTCCATAGTGGTTAAGCCACCCTGCAGTGGAAAAAACAGTGATTAAAAGTCTCTGGGTCATCGAGCAAACAGGACAGGTAGGAGAGGAAACTAGAGTCTTCTGTAATAGGATTGTTTGAAGGGGAAGAAACCCCCTAACCACCCTCCAAAAGAAAACCTTAAGTTTCGGCGGAAGTGGGGAGGTTCCACAACATCTTCCAAAACCTGCAGTCAAACGGCAAATCATCAGGAGGATGACGAGCATTCAACTCATTAGTTAGCAGGTGATATCCAGTTTTTACTGTGTATTCGCCGGAAGCAGAATAATGCCATACAAGGCGAACATCTGTGTCGTGGAGGGGAAGAGGGATGCTCAATATGGCCTGAACTGATTCTGAAGTGAAGAGGGACACAAGATCAGCACGTTTCCAAGTGCGAGTCTCGCTGCAAATCAGGTCCGCCACCCTTGGGGGGCAAGTGAGAACACCTGGTAGCAAGCAAGCGGAGACGGAGGAGTAGTGGGCAGCCATATATCTTCCAAGACTCGCACTGCCTGTCTCGACCCAATTTCCACCTCAGGCCGCGTTTGAGAAGGTCCCGTCCTTCCAAGACTGGCAAGACACCTTGCCATGCCCAAGAGGGCCGGTAACCAGCTTCAGCATCTAGGAAGTGATGATGAGGATGGTACCTCGCCTTGTAGATCTTGCCCAAGAAACTCTCAGGATTAATCATTATTCTCCAGGCCTGTTTAGCAAGAAGAGCAACATTGAACCGGTTAAAGTCTCTGAAGCCCAACCCCCCTGCAAACTTGCTTCGACAGGCTGCTGACCAAGATAGCCATCTAATGCCGTTTTCTTTATCCTGTCCCGCCCACTAGAATTTGGAAAGGAGACTATTGCAACGACGACAGGTTGTAGTTGGGAGACGGAAGGCTGACATGGCATACACCGGGCCTGCTGCTCCAACCGCTTTGATGACGACCTCCTTCCCAGCCATGGAAAGGGATTTTGATTTCCAACTTCGGATCTGATCTGTCAAGGCTTCTTCAACAAATTGGAATGTCAAGGACTTGAAATGGTGGACTTGCGAGGGGAGTCTCAGATACTTGTCTCCAATCCCCATCTGGCCGACAACCAGAAATGTTGTAAGAGCCGCAAACTCCCCCATGGTCACATTCGCACTTACACACATTGATGATTTGCAAGTTGACCTTTTGTCCACTTATGGCCTCGTATTCATGGAAAACATGGAGAAGGTTAGCACATTCAGGCAAGGAAGCCCGGAGGAACATATATGTATCATCAGCAAAGAGGAGATGGGAAGTAATGGGTGCTCGCCTGTGAACTTTCAAACCATGGAGGGACGAGATAGCAATTTCAGACATAAGCTTGGCAGAGAAGGCCTCTGTGTATAGCGCAAAGAGAAGCGGGGAGAGAGGACCACCTTGGCCGGTTCCACGTTGAGGTTGGAAGTACCCATACTCTACCCCATTCATTAGGATTGAGAACCGAACAGTGGAAATGCAAGACCGGATCCAACGTATCCAAGTGGGAGAAAAGCCCATAGCTGCCAAGACCTGGAGTAGAAATTGCCACTCCACCCGGTCATAGGCCTTCTCCATGTCCAGCTTAAGCGCCATCCACTTCTCCTTTCCCTGTACTTTCGTTTTTAGGAACTGCATAATTTCTTGAGCAATCAAAATATTGTCAGATATAGAACGACCTTTGATAAAGCCATTCTGGTAAGAGCTAACAATGTTAGGAGAATCAAGCTCAATCTAGCAGCCAAAATTTTAGAAATTATCTTATACAAAACCTGACACAGGCTGATTGGCTGCATTTGTCGCTTATTGTCAGCATTTGGTACTTTGGGAATGAGGGCGATCCAAGTATGATTTATACTGTGAAGGAGCCGCCCAGTGCTGAAGAAAGACAAGACCGCCGCACACACGTCCTTCTCAATCTCTGGCCAGAATCTCTGATAAAACGCCTGTAAAACCATCTGAGCCTGGTGCCTGGGATTTCCCAATAGCAAACACCGCTTTGCGGATCTCCTCTACTGAGACAGGAGCAGTAAGATCTGCATTCGCTTCTTCGTCGACACGTCGAGGAAATTGGAGGCTGCCTACATAATTGGTTGGATCAGTCCCTGAAGAGGTGAAGAGGACCTTGTAATAGTCAACTGCTACTCCCCTTTCTCATCTTCTAATTGGTGAAGCACCCCATTTTCATCTCTCAAAGATAAAATAGATTTGAAACGCCTCCGATGGATCAAGGATAAGTGAAAGAACCGAGAATTAACATCACCAGTTTTAAGCCAGCCATTACGAGATTTTTGCTTCCAGTAAATCTCCTCCTGCTTATATGCCTCTCCTAGCATTTTCAATCTGCCCCTTGAAATCAATAATCTTCCGGGCGGAGTTGGAAGTCCCTTTCCTCGCCCATTCCACTAGCCCATGCCGCAGGTTCTTAAGCATCGGTTGGATTCGGAATTGCGTCGTGCCATGAACCTCCTGCTGCCACACTGATTGCAGAATCCCAGGCACTTCCGTGTTAGAGTCCCAGCGCATGTCATACCTGAATCGACGTCTAGGCCGGGACGGAGGCTTGAGGAAAGTCACCAATAGGATCCTGTGATCTGATCCTATATCCGAGAGATGCCGCACTTGCAGATCAGGCCACCAAGAGAGCACTTGAGAGTTAGCTAAACATCTATCAAGTTGCTCTGTAATATGGCGAGACCCCGACTGACGATTAGACCATGTAAAAGGACTTCCTACACATCCTAGATCCGTGAGATTAGTGAGTAACAAGAATTCCCCCAACTGGTCAAAGGCAGCAGGGGTGAGAGCTCGACCCCCTGCTTCTCAGCCGATGACAACAAACAATTAAAGTCACCCAATACGAAAGTAGGATGGACACACGACAAAACAAAAACATTAATTTCATTGAGTTCAGACTGCCTAGTATGTACATCACAACTGAGGTGCACAAAAACTACTACAAAGCGCCCTAGGGACAGATGAAGGCATTCAACAATAAGATATGCATAAGTAGACACTAAAACTGTACAGGAAACAAGGTCCGACCAGCCTATTGCTAATCCCCCACCCCTGTTAATTCCATGAAAAGCACGAACATTCGAGAACCCCAAGCTACGAATATGCCCTTCCACAACTCATCGTCTCTCCTCGTCTCACTTAGGAAGGTAAGAAAAGGAAGATGACCACGAATGGCTTTTCGCAAGGATGGAATCGTCAGGAGGGAGCCCAAACCCCGACAATTCCATGCCATGATGCTCATTTGATGGACTGGGACCAGTCTGGGTCGGTTGCCTCCACCCTTGAACTGTTCTCAGTATCTATAAAAGAACCTTGTTGAGAAATCCGAGCCCTTTTGGCAGTCGGCTCTATCTGATCAGGTTTTGCTCCTCCTTTTGGTGATCCTGCCGCAGGAGCAAGAGAAGGGGCAGCCTCATTGATCTCTCTTGCCTCAATGGAGAGTTGGTGCAGCTTGTTTGGGACAACTATGGCCCCTGAACGATTCGACAAAGACCCCCAGAGAGAAGCCTCTGTCTCGCTCTTATCTGCTTTGCGGATCCAAGTGTACTTCCTCTTTCGATCTAAAGTTCACTCATCAACACGGGGTCCCCTGTCTAGGCTAATCATATGCGTGCCATATCGCATCGGTGTACCTCCGAGCTCCTCTTTCCGCAGGCAACGAATACCTGTAGGGCCAACAACACCACACAAGTAGCAAAGCTGGGGCAAACGCTCGAACTTAACAGCAGTAGTGAATTCACCTTTGCCGGCCTCATCATGTAGCGCTGGAATCTCATAAGGCAGCGGGGCAGAGACATCAATGCAGACTTTAACTCGCACATAAAGCCCGCCAGTAACCTCCGATTGATGGATGGTCGCCGGATCCGTGGCATCGAGGGAAGCTCCCATCAGCGTTCCAAGGCGCTCCGTATAGCAGGTGTATGGGATGCCCCAAAGTGGGATCATCAATGGCACACGAAGGAGGGAATCGGCCAAGGAAGGAGATGGTGTCTCCCAAGGGATCAGATGGAGCACATATTTGGGCCGGAACCAAGGGGAGTTTTTTCGCACCCTATTGAGATCCTTGGCCGTCGAGAACACCACTTGAATTGGGTCCCAATCTAGCGGCACAATGAAAATCGCAGCCGAACAATTCCACAACCGCAGCAGGTCTGCCTTGAGGGCGTGCAAGGCTGGTCGCAGACCGCAAACCCTCCCAACTAGCGTGAGTTTGCCGCGGATTGCTCCCACTTGCACATCAGCGTCGGAAAATCGGACCACCGCCATCGCAATTGGATTTGGGGGAACAATGAAAGTGGCGTCTGCTAAAAGGGGACACACTGGGAGCAGAAGGCCGATGAAAGATAGAAACGTCCTACACATCCACATGGTATATAAAGGCTCCATGGCGGAGCGGGCCGCTTTTGGCGTCGCACGATGGCGATTGCCGGTATCGGCGAGGCGCACTATGCGCAATAACCGCCCCACTCGCAAGGAGAGAGGGGAGAGCGAAAGCCTCTGGGCTAGGTCCAGTTTCTCTGTAAAGGTTCTGTTCCACAATTGCGGAGCCCAATTTGCATCCCATATCATATCTCCTTCTTTCTCCGGACCTGGAGGCTGGAGCTAAGGCTAAGCTAACTTCTCACCCACGGGCCACGTGGGCAGGGTATATTAATTTATGGGCAGCTATGCTAATGCGTTAATGGTCTCAAGGAACATGCTTAATGCTTTGTTAGTTTGATAGATTGGCAGCGCGCAAACTCATCAATTGATCTAGAAACTTCCCCTGCCAACGTTTTTCTAGGTGGCTGGCTATACAATCAATCTCCATTAGAATTCCTCCCGGCAATCTTCTTCGGCTTCTCAGTTCTCACCCAGCCTAGTTCGCGTCCATCGCCGAATCGTGACGTTCATCACCTCGCAGGTATGCTAGTTCTTGACGCTTTATCGGGCGGGTAATGGATAATTTTCAAAGTCTTGAGGCTTGGGAGTTGTTGTTTTCCTCACATTCTACAGATCAATCTTCTGCTAATCCCTGTTCACATCTTCCTGCATTGGAGTTGTATGTGAATTCGTCGATTCTAGTTTCTGGGTTTGGGGGGTTTGTTTCTTGTGAATGATTTGTAATTTGATCTGATACTGGCCTGATCATGGGGTTTCGAGGTTTTGCGGGGGTTGGATCGTTCTTTTTTCAATTGATATATTGGCTGAGGATTCAATGGATACATTGAATCACCATCTGGCTTATCTCCAACTGAAGTTTCCTTTTTTTTTCTTCTTCTTCCTTTCTCCCCAGTGAGCGACCTTCCAAATGTGTTTGTTTATGCATCTTCTCAGATTTCATTCGTTCTGGTTAGTATTAGTAGAGTTAACTTTAGGATTAAGCCTCTCAGTTAACATTCTCTGTATATTTTAATGAAATCTTGTCTTATGTGATCTAAGTAATAGTTTTCATACGATCCAAAATGTTACGACTCCACCTCACAATTATATTTTAATCCGGATTTTGATAAAATTGTCAATCATCTTGGACTTGCGGCTTGATTGACGGCATGTTTGGTTCATTTTGAGCTGGTGTGTTCTTCATGTGTTTCTTTCTTAGAAGATCTTCTGCTCGCTTTCATACGTCTGGATTCGCAGGCTTGTTGCTCTATTGTCCAAGAGGATGAATAATTACATCATGCCTTGTGATGCTCTTGCAGGTCTCTGAAAATTTTGAAATTACCTTCTCACACCACACCGCATATCTCACTGGGATTGTGCTCCCTCCTCATACACAATGGTATGCTTGCTTCGATTTCCTAGAGACACAATAGATGTTGCAGTTGCTTGCACTAGATTGTTATGGTTTTGGTAATGGAAGTTGCTTGTACAATGAAATGACATGGTGAATGGAGTTTCTTTTCTACTAGCTCTGGTTTGGAGTTCTAGTTAGATAAACGATATCTATCAGTACCTCCTAAAGAATACTTTGAGTTCTCTCTCAAATGGGAAGGCGTAAGTTAGGCTTAGGGATTGACCTATTATTGCATGATTAATTGGTTATAGTTACGACTAATACTTATCTGCCCATGCAGTAACTATTCATCACTCTCACTTTAGTGATCCATTTATCACCTTTATATTTCAGGCTGGAAGAATCATTGCAAATTTGATTGTGGTGGGCTCTGGAGTTTTGGCGAGGGCCTTTGCTCAGGCATATCGTCAAGCGCTTCAAAGTACGGTTCTGACCCTATTATTGTCTCTTCCCACTCCCACTTTTGATGTTAATTGTTATCTTATCCTTCGAGCTTGATCCAACTGCAGATGCTTCGAGGAATGGCGTTGCACATGAAGCAGTACAGAGCATGAAGAAAGTCAGCAAGACGATGACTGAGTCAGAGGCAAGACAAATTCTTGGAGTGTCTGAAAATGCACCATAGGAGGAGATTCTAAATATTGGAAATGGTTATTCATTCTTCAGTGAAATATATGTGACACCATTATATTGTTGTTGAGATCATCCAATTGGTACCCTTTTTTATCGTATGAATCATTAAATGTTGGCTAAATTTGTCTGCAGAAATATGATTCCTTATTCGAGAACAATGCAAAGAATGGCAGCTTCTACCTGCAATCCAAGGTCTTCAGAGCTAAAGAATGCCTAGAAAATGCAGTAGCCAAGAAGAGTGGTGAATAAACAAATTGACCTAAATTTTAACATTTTCCCCGTCTCGTCTCCCAACTGTAGAGGTGCACATATTAGAAAGAAAGGCGTCATTTATTTAGTTTTGATATTTTACTGTAATGTGTATAGAATGTCGAGAAGCTGTGCCAAGATCTACTGTCATAACAGGCCTGCAAATATGTATAGAAGTTGTTAAGAATAAATAAATAAATAAATAAATAAATGGAAAGCCGAGTGTGGATGTAAGATGTCATGCACTCATGTCCCCTTTACTTGTTGTGAGTATTTGAGGTCGGTCGTGGATGTAAGATATGCACTCAGCTCCGTTATTCTGAGCTAAGCTGCATCTACGGGTTTAAATCAAGAGCAGCCAAGGAAAGTAGAAGAATCCACGTAGGTGGTTTGCGAGTGACGAGAAAAAGGAGTGTGTCGAAGGTTTGGGAAGCAACCAATACCTTTTTGCTAGGGAGGGACTTGAGCCCTTTCAAGTTATTGTCCACCACCTGTGTTAAATGGAACTAGCATTGGGCCCGGCCCGTTGGCCGGGTTTGTTTTTGAAAATTGAAGAACTAAAAACTATAATCTGCAACCAAGGTTAAGTTGAACCAAAACCGTGTGTTATAAAATTCAATTTGATCATGATAAACTAAAGAATTACATAGCTGATAGACCGTTAATTACACATGTTTTTACCCCCGTTCTTACACCGTTTGAGGTATTGATTCTCGTGTTTTAGGCCGATTTCACGCTAAGTTGTGCTTGTTTGTGATATTTCAGGTCCTAGTACGTGAATGGAGGCTTGGGAGCGAGTCTGGGGTTGATTGGACGAAGATCGGACGAATGGCGAGGTTTCAAGGAAGCTGCACGGGCAGTCCTGGGTGTCACACGGCCGTGCAAGGGGCAACCCTGGCCGTGTGATTTCCACCGAGAGCAAACACGGGCAGACCGTGGCATCACACGGCCGTGCAAAGTGCAATTGTGGCCGTGTGATTTTTGCCGAGGCCAAACACGGGTTGACTGGAATTCTCACACGCGCCGTGCAACCCTGGCCGTGTGAGATGGCTGAAGACCGAACTAATCCATACGCTGCGTTTCGACTCGCACGGGCAAAGTGGTGAGCTACACGGCCGTGTGGCCTGCCCGTGTGAGTCGGGAAATTCTGGTTTTTGAGCCAATTTCGAGCCAAAAGAGGGGAATCGGATTTTCAGAGCAAAAACAGAGCCCTAGAGAGAGAAAGTACGAAGAACACATCCTAGAAGCTATCTTGGAGCTGGGTTTCATCGAATCGAGCTTGGAGATCGTCATAGGAGTGGAAATCATCATCCCGGAGCAGATTTTCCTCATCATTATGAGTATGACTACTCCGATTACTGTTTTCTCTTCTCTCTCTATGGAGTAGAACCCTTCTCTCACTTGGGTATGAAGAACCCTAGTTCCTTGTGTTAGGGATTTGATTGTAATGACTTGGGATGATATTACTGTTTGATTTTAATCGAATGATGCATGTTTATTGAATTGATTGAGTCTGATCAGCTTTTCTCGATTTCTGCTGCAACCTGAGATAGATAGAATCTGATTAGGTTGTTAGAGCCTCTTCATTCGATAGTAGGAGATTGGCTATACGAGAGTTAGCCAGTTTACTGCTTTGTACTGGAATTCAATTCCAGTAGTGGAGTTCTGTGTTCATAGCCTCAGCTTTCTATCCCGGTGAAGACTAGTCGTCTGCCGGGTAGTTAGACTGAGAGGGCTTGGTCAGCTTAAGAGATTCCAAGCTACTGTCGGATCTTCCGCAGTCTAATCAACAGTGAATCAACCCAGGGGAATTACAATTGAACCTAACTAAGGGGCTAGGGGGACTCAATCCCGAGTGACTCTTTCCTGACTTTGAAAACCGAATTTTACTGCTTTCTTACTGCTTTTGCTTTAAACAACAATCACTCGAATTAGTTTGCTAGATAATAGATAATCACGGAGTAAGCAGTAGATCTAGACCCCGGGTTGATAATAGAACTTGCCTGTTACTGCATTCCCGGACTGCGATTACACTTGGTCGCAGTTTGGTGTTGTGTTTTGGCGTGTCAAGTTTTTGGCGCCGTTGCCGGGGACCCTCTAGGTTATTGGGGAAACGTGAGAATTTGTTACTCTAGCTTTTTCTTTATTGCATTTTTCTCTTCCACCTGTGTGCCTTCACGGGTTGCTTCTGCTGATTGTGTGCAGGTAGTGCATGACCCGTAGCCAGTCGGGAGATCTACTACCATTAGACCAGGAGCTTGAACGAACCTGCAGGAACTTCAAGCGGGCTCTAAAGGCGCGACTGGCTGCGGAGGAGGCGCTATCACAGCTGCAGATCGAAGAAGAAGAAGAGATGGCTGATCCACAGAACCATGATGTGATCAACCAGAGGAGCAGACCATGGGATCCTACTGGACCGCTAGAGCTGCGGATATGAGGTCACCCATTCAACACCCTCATGTCCCAGCCAACAATTTTGAGGTGAGCACCTCAGTAATCACCATGCTGCGCGGTTCAGTGGTGTTCCGTGGTAAGGAGGGAGAGTGCCCCCGATCACATCTCAGGCGATTCCACGAGCTCATCGATGGAATCAAGATCAATGGGGTACCAGCAGATGCCATCCAGCTGAGGTACTTCCCATTCACTCTGGAGGGGCAAGCCAAGGAGTGGCTAGACACTCGACCTCCGGGCTCCATCACCACGTTCGCCAACCTGGCGGACAAGTTCCTCACCCGCTACCATCCTCCATCCAAGACAGCTGACCTGCAGAAGCAAATTACACATTTTGCTCAGGATGAGGATGAGACCATCAGGGATGCTTGGGAGAGATACAACAGTCTCTTTCTCAGGTGTCCCAATCATGGTTCAATGATGCCTTCAAGGTGGGCACCTTCTATCACGCCCTCTTCCCGGAGGACAAGCAGCTGATTGACTCAGTTTGTGGCGGGAACATGCTGACCAAAACCCGCCACAGCTGAATCAACTCTTTGAGGAGATGGCGGAGAACGGGTACGATTGGGGCACTGCCAGGAGATCGAGACGAGCACCAGGACGGGTGTGCATGCTGTGGGCACCCAGTCATCTGATTTGGTGCAGGTGTATCGAAGCTGGTTTCAGCTATCGATCGTTCTGGTTTGATTGCAGGTACAGGACAGCCGCAGGCGATGCTCTGCCACTGGTGCGAGAGCACCATCACACGTGGAGACTGCCAGGCGATGAAGGAATCAACCACACCCCAGGAGCAGGTGAACTTCATCAATAACGTCAGGCGCAATGACCCCTACAGTAACACTTACAATGAGGGGTGGCGCCAGCATCCTAACTTCTCCTGGGGTGGGGCAAATTCCAGACCACCAGTCCCCCAGGGACCACCGGGTTTCCAGAGGCCACCATATCAGCCCAGACAGGGGCAATTCCAGCAGCAACAGTCTCTCTACCAGCCCATGCCGGGGCATGCTGCTCAATCACAGCCGCGACCTTTCCAGCAGCCAGGTGCAGCCCCTGCTGCCCCAGTGCAGAATGATCAGATGGCTGAACTGCGGGACTTGGTGGGTTCTCTCGCCAGTTCTAGTGCTCAGAAATTCAACACTATTGAGCAGTTCATGGAGAAGGCCTCGGGTAAATTCTTGGCTCTTGAAGCTGGTCAGAGGAACACACAGGCTGTCTTGCAGGATATCCAGACCCAGCTGGGGAGCGTGGCTCAGGCAGTGGCTCAAAGGGCTCCTGGTACTCTACCCGGGCAGACCATCCCTCATCCGCCAGCCCCGAATGAGCACTGCAATGCCATCATGACCAGGAGTGGCAAGGTGACTGTTGATCCACCTGCTCGGGAACAGAGAGAGAGACCCCTGTCTTAGCATCTCCAGCGGTTGAAGAAGAGGCAGAAAGGAGGTTGAGGTGCCTGCACCTAATCCGCAACCGGTAGTGAAGGAGTATATCCCGAAACTTCCCTTCCCTACTCGGTTGCACAGAGACAGGCTGGAGGCAGAGTTCGAAAACTTCATGGCCATGCTTAAGAAGCTGAATGTCCAAGTGCCCTTCCTGGAGGCACTATCACAAATGCCTAAGTATGCGAAGTTTCTGAAAGAGCTTCTCTCGAAGAAGCAGAAGCTGAGTGAGCTGGCCACTGTGGAGCTCAGCGAGGAGTGCTCGGCTATTCTGCAGAACAAGCTTCCGCAGAAGAAGAAGGACCCAGGTAGTTTTACTATCCCGTGCTCTATTGATAAATTGCATGTAGAGAGGTCCTTGGCGGATTTAGGTGCTAGTATCAATGTTATGCCATATAATTGTTCAAGAAACTAGGCCTAGGTGAACCCCGTGCTACTAGGATGACCCTTCAATTAGCTGACCGATCTGTAGTGCATCCTAGGGGCATAGTGGAAGACCTTCTGGTTAAGGTTGGCAAATTCAATTATCCTGTGGATTTTGTTGTCCTGGACATCAATGAGGACACAGAAGTGCCCCTTATACTGGGAAGGCCTTTCCTGGCCACCGCCAAGGCTCTCATAGATGTGCATGATGGGACCTTAGTTTTGAGGGATGGCGAGGAGCGAATAACGTTTTCAATTGCTAATACTACCTACCTGCTTCGTCACCTCTGCATGCTGTATCTCACCAGGAGCACGAGTCTGTCGTGTATCCTTCTGTGTTGCCTATTTTGCAGGACCCGCCTCACACCTTCGCCGCCACTCCTGACCACTCCATCACCAAAAGTACAGATCAAGGAGGAGTGGCGGCCGAAAC